AGGCCGGGCTGAGGGACCCCCCTCCCCCCCCCCCGAGTGCACAAATTTTTGTGCACTGGGCCTCTAGTATATATATATATAGAAAAATCAATGATGAGAGAGAATCATTAATTGGCTGCCTCCTGCACATCCCCTACTGGGGACTGAGCCCGCAACCCAGGCATGTGCCCTTGACAGGAATCAAACTTGGGACCCTTCAGTCTGCAGGCTGACACTCTAACCACTGAGCCAAACCAGCTAGGGCTCAGAACTTATAATGAGAGAACAGTAGAGGAGTGCCTGGTGGGAGGATGGACTGTGTACTTTAGAAGTCAATTCCTATTAGTGATGGAACCAGTAGAATTTAAACTCTGTGAAGGCAAAGACCTTGTTCTCAGCTATATCCCTGTTGCCTAGAATGGCTGGCAAAAATAGGCATTCAAAAAATATTTGTAGAATGACTAACACTAGGGCCTGTATATTGCCTCAGGGATTGAGCAATTACAGGCCCTGTTGCCAAGTTTGGGATTTTTATGGTTGATATGACTCCTTTAAAATCTTGGCTGGCTGCCCTGGCCAGGTAGCTCAGTCGGTTGGAGCATCATCCCAATACACCATGTTTGCAGGTTCAATCTCTGGTCAGGACACATACAACAAGCAACCAATGAATGCATAAATAAGTAGAATAACAAATCTATCTATCTATCTATCTATCTATCTATCTATCTATCTATCATCTATCTATTATCTATCTATCTATCTATCTATCTAACTATCTATCATCTATCTCCCTTCCTCTCTCTCTCTCTAAAATCAATCAATCAATCAATCAATCAAAATCTTGGCTGGCTGGCAGTTTCCTCTTTGTTGACTGTATTTCCTTATTACCAGTTCAAGAAATCTTGTCAAGTCATAATCTTTGAATACTAAATCTGCTAAAGGGAACTGCAAGGCCTGGGCCTAAGCACAGTCTCAGGATGGCGAGGCTGGTGCCCTGGGATGTATACCCCCCACCAGCCATTGCTCACCTACCTAGTGGAGGACCTAGGGTGTGACCCAGGGGTTGAGGTGTCCCTAATTTTTCTGGTTTCTCTTAAATACCTCTATTCCAACAGCCAGTGAACCACAATTTAGAAAACAGTAATTTAGTTGTAGAAATAGGAAATATGGCTGCAAGATTTTCAATTATTTGAATCTTCGACTTCAGACAGAAAGGGTTTCTTACATGTTGTGTTGTTTCCTATCAATTTTTGAGGCAACTACCTTGAATTACAGTGTGTCTAACATAACAATTTATTAAATGTCTCAAAGAACAGCCAACACACTTTAATTTCCTGACATTTTGCCACTAAGTCCCCTAAATCTCCAGCTTTTGTAGGCAATTGGTTGGAGCCTGAAGAGATGACAGATGATACGGTACAAGACCTGCCAGCTTAATTAATACAACATGGGGGTTCTTCAAGCCTATGCCCCACTTTCTCTCAGCCCATTCCATCCATTTTGATCTATAGTGTGCAAATTCTCACTTCCTTTGCTAATTTAATTAAGAATAATTAAGACTTCTTTGATTGGGAAACCAAATTCTAGCAAGTTAAGCAATAATGACCTAATTTATTGACAGGACTCAATTCGAGGACAGGAATGCAACTGGCATTCAGGAACGAGCTGGAAGCAGGGATTTAAACATTAGGAATATCTCCATCTTTTGTTTCTCCTGCATATGTGCTTGCTTCACTTTTTTGCTTCTTTCTCCAACAGATCCAAGCTTTACATGTTCTAGTGCCAGACACCATGTTATAAGCCCATTCTTCAAGTTCTCACTCAAAACTTTGGTGGCCCCTTAACTACTCATTTTCTCTCTCACAGCTGAACCATCAACCTTCAACATATATCCATTATTAAACCACTTCTCATCACCACCCCCTACCACACCCCCAACAGGCAACCAAGCACCTCTTGCCTAGATTACTGCAATAATTTAATTGTTTTTTCTGACTTTATCTTTGATCCTCTGTTGTCTAGTCTCAGCATAGCAGCCAAATGGTCCTGTCTAGAGCTTGTTACTTCTATACTGACAACTCTCCCACTGTTTCTCTTTTTATTCAGAATAAAAGCTAAAGATCTTATGAGGCCTTGCCTTCACCCCATTATCTCTATGACTATCTCCACATTCATCCATGTTCACTCTTCACTGGCCCTGTTGTTCCTCCAGTTCACTTGTCTCACTGCTCTCTGGGCTTTTGCTTTGCCTTGAATGCTCTTCTCCCAGACCCTCACTCCCTTACTCCCTTTGGATTCTCAAGTCACCTCAGTGAATCCTTTCTTGGTTAATCCACCATCATCCCCACTCCACTGACATTTTCTATCTTCCTTTCCTTCTGAATTTTTTTTTCTTGAGTATTTATCACTATCTGGCATCCTTAGGATTTATTTATTTCATTTATTGTCTATCTTCTCTTTTCAAATTTAAGTGCCTGCCCTGGTCGGTGTTACTCAGTGGTTAGAATGTCTGCCCGCACACCAAAGGGTCATGGGTTCAATTCCCTGGCAAGGACATGCATATACTTGGGTTGTGGGTTCACACCCCACACCCTGGTTGGGGCACATTTGGGAGGCAACCAATTGATGTGTCTCTCACATCAATGTTTCTCTCTTTCTCTCCCTTCCTTCCACTCTCTGAAAAGCAATGAAAAAAATATCCTGTGGTGAGGATTAACAACAAAAATTTAAGTTCCTAAAAACAACAAATTTAGTCTTTTGTTCACTTCTGTATACCCAGACCTGGAATAGTCAGTGCCTGGCACTCAAATTTTTTTCTGAGTAGATCAATATACAACAGGGGAAAACTGATCTGTCTTTTCTCCCTCAAAACAAAATACCTGGAGAGGGCAGGTAATTTCTGATAGCCTAGGGAACAGTGAGGAGCATGAAAGAGGAAGGAGTGCTTACACAGTTTGAAGGGAGCCTGGAGAGAAGAGATTGCTCAGAACACAAGCCAGCCTCCACCAGAGCATCAGGACTCAGGGATCCCCTGTCTCTCTGGCTTGAACCAGGACCTCTCCTCAGGAGCTATAACAACTATTATAACTGCAGTTTTGACTTCCTGGCACTGTCCATGGTGCTTTCCATGTATGTCAAGTACAAACCCATAGTCTTAATGCAGCTCAGTCTTTCAATAGGATCACAGGAAGTTCAGAAAACACATTTTAAGAGCCAAAGTGTAACGTCACACTATCTCAAGTGTTTTTGGTGTTTGTTTGTTTTTTCATCTCAAGTGTTTTATTGTAGTTCTTGGACATATGAGAGGGATTCCAAAACCACAGCAAATCTCCTTAAAATGCCTGTTTCAGATCCCATCAACTTCCCTCACCATTGCTCCACGCATCTCTCCTAAATGCCCTCAGAACTCCTCTCCCCAGCTTTGGTTTGGGCCCATTATTCTTCTATCTCATCCTCTTCTGACCTCAATCCCCAAAGTTCAAAGGGTGTAGGAAGGGATTAACTTGGCAGTATTAACACATGAATAATGTTCCTCCTACCACAGATGTGGCTCTCAAACATGAGGTGAGTGTCAGTCTGATCACTTTATAGAGGAGGCAGCTGCAGTCCGAGGAGCTTGTGACTTGCTGGAAAGGTGGCTCTAGCTCTCTCCACCAACACCACCCTCTGCCAAGGCGAGTTAGAGTCAAGGATACGGACACCACTTCTTCCACGTCAGCCAACCATCTGCCCTGAGGAGTGAATAAGCAGCCTCTGTTCCAGGACCCACCAGAGTCCTCAGCCCCCTGAAGAATGTCCAAGCAGGATTTGAGGTAAACTCTGGCTAATATAGCCCTCATCTCTGGGCTGGGATTAGGGAAAGAGCTGCTGTGGGGATAACACATCACTACGCTTCCCTTCCATATTCCTAAAGTATTAGCTGAGTCCTGGGGAACAGCAAAAGGGACCCATTTCCTATATACAAAAAAATTATTTATAGATACGTATATTTAAATATAATTTGTAATTCTTTGAACTGCATCTCTTCAGCCTGCAAAATTTAAACCTATTATCTGCTCTTACCACTTCCAGGTAATCTACCGCCAAATGTTTTGCTCACATCTGCCTCTGGCCAGAAAGATAAGAAAATGTTACCAGGCTCCATTTTCTATTTTCAGACTTAAAAAATGATGAGAGGGACTTTACTTTTGACTAGATAATATCAATTAACCTGGGTTATCTCATGCTGACTAGAAATCTCATGTCAGAAAAGTGTGTTCTCTTATTAATAATAGCTATCAGTTACCAAATGCATGAGCCAGTTGTACAGAGGGGAAAACAAAGGATCAGAGAAGTGAGATAATTTGCTAAACTAACAGAATAGCCAGGATTCAAAATCAGTTCTGATGACCTTAAGTCTGAAATAAAAGTTCAGTGTGTTTGAAAATGTGTCCACACGTGGCCCTGCCGATGGGGATAAGCCAGAGAACAGGCCTTGGGTGGGAACTCTGCAGGGGATACTCTGAGGCCCAGCTAAGAACCTCCTGCACACTAGTGGAGCCCCAGGGGGCAGAGTTGGCACTCTGGCATCCTTCCCAGAAGCCCTGGCAGTCTCCTAGCTTTATGAACATCTCCCTGTGGGGTTAGGGCAAGAGCCTTCAGTCCTGGTGAGGGTAGTACCCCTGAAGGAAGTGGCCAGGCCCTCTGGGTCCTGGCCCCTAACCTATCTCTGGAACTGGACCAAGTGAGGGAGGCATGACAAGTCGAGCAGAAGGGTTGCTGGGGTAGGGGCAGGAAAGCTGAGGAGAGGGGTCTACGGATGCCTGTGGGGCTGAAGTCAATGGAGCTGCCATTCCTATGCTTGCTCTGCTCTGTCCCTGCTTTCCTGCTGGCCTCCCTCCATTTCCCCATCCAGTCCGGGCTGTGGGTAGCTCTCCGCAGCCAGCCTCCTTCCACGCTCCTATGCCTGTGCCTCCCTCACTCACTCTGTGCTTCCCTCCTTCCCATGGCCTAGTGTCACAGCAAAACTCATCAATGGAGGCATAGCAGGGCTCCTGGGGGTGACCTGTGTGTTCCCCATTGACTTGGCCAAGACTCGACTTCAGAACCAACATGGAAAAGATATCTACAAAGGAATGTAGGTATTGGTGAAGAAGGGGGTAAGAAGAGGGGACTCCCAGAGGAGGGATGTGGGGCCTCACTCTCCATAGTCTCTTTAGGGAGTAAGATTAGGGTGTGGGGGAGGGAGGTGGAGGTGGTCAACTGGGGTGAGCCCAACAGGATTAGAGCATTGGTTGAAAGCAAGGGGGTTGTGGTACAGCCTCCTGTTCACTACTAATTTCCCTTTCTGGCTTCTGCTTCTAGGATAGATTGCCTGATGAAGACAGCAAGGGTAGAGGGCTTTCTGGGCATGTACCGAGGTATGCTCACTAGGCATCCTGGGGGAGGCCTGGCTTGTGAGGCCAAGTGAGGACAGAGGGTATGGCACAGGGGAGTCAGATTTTTGTGAATTTATAGGACATTGGAAAGCAGCATTCTTTCTGCCCAGGGAACTCCTAGGATGGGCCTGGGCTACCAAGTGCTTTTGGACCACATTGCTTTTCATAAGCCCTCTTGTGCCTTGGTGACACAGTAGTTATGGTGAGGTTTGGGGGATGCCAGTGAATACACTGAGGAGCCCAGGAGCCCTAGGTTCCATCCTGGCACAACCACTGCCTCACTGTGTGATGTTGGAAGTAAGTGAACCCCCAAACCCCCTTCTCCGCCCCACCCCTCTCTCAGGCTGTCAAGGCATCCAACCACTAATAGCAGAAGAGGTAGAGGCTGACAAGGAAGGAATGGAAAGGGTTTTGAGTTCCTGGAAAGGAGTTACTGAGTGGCTCTTCCTTGAAACGGCCAGTGCTGTCCCTGTTTCCTGCAGTGTCCCTATCCAAGGTGGCACAACCATGATTATGCCTTGGAAAATGGATACAAAGCTGGGGTTGAGAAGGAACTGATATGATAGTACCCCTTAGGAACAAAGTAAAAAAGCCTCTATGACCCACAGAGCTGTCAGTGGGCTTGGCAAACACAGCACAGAAATTGAAACCAATCCCTGTCCCCCAGGGCCTTTTTATTGGGGATTAATTTGGGGAACTGCTTATTTAGCATCAGAGACAGGCAGCATTAGCAAGGATAGATTTCCTAATAACTGCACCAATGAGTCCATTTAAAAAGGAAAATGTGGTGGGAGGATAGTGGAAGTAGGGAGATGAAAGGAAATTTATTTCAATAAGATAAGCAGATGAACCCTCCTTGACCCCAGAGACCCTGTTTACTCCAGAAACAACTTCTGAGAGAATGAGCTGGTGTAATTTGGAAGTTCCAGATAGACCATCTACATGGCATGTTCCGGGCACTGGTACATCAGAGATGGCCTTACCTCTTCATCTTCGTTGTTTACTTCCAGGAGCTGCAGTGAACCTCACCTTGGTCACTCCAGAGAAAGCCATTAAGCTGGCAGCCAATGACTTTTTCCGACAGTTGCTCATGGAAGATGGGTACGGCCAGGTGGGGGCTGGAGATGGAAATCCTTCACTGCATGTCTACTTTTTTTGGAAGATAGCAGGCAGAGGATTGCAACTCTGCCTCAGTTTACTTGTGTGCATTTTTATAAATATGTATACACAAATGGCTGAGGGTTAGTGTGTTTTAGCAGATGGTAAGTAAAGGGAGAGAATGAGCTGGTGTAATTTGGAAGTTCCAGATAGATAGATAAGAGATAGACCATATAGAATATATATACATCAACTAGCTGATGAATATTTTTTCAGTTTTGAGATATAATTGGCATACAACACTGTATAAGTTTAAAGTGTACAGCATAATGATTTGACACACATATATTATGAAATGATTACTACAATGTTAACATCTATCCCCTCATAAAGTTACAATTTTTTTCCCCCTTGTGATGAGAACTTGTAGGATTTACTTTCTTAGCAACCATAGAGCAGTGTTTAACTATAGTCATCATGTTGTACATTACATCCCCAGTACTTATTATAAATGAAAGTTTGTGCCTTTTGATCACCTTCATCCAATTCCTTTCCCCTCACGTTCATAACCAAAAATTTTTTTTTTTTTAAATATATTTTATTGATTTTTTACAGAGAGGAAAGAAGAGAGATAGAGAGTTAGAAACATCAATCAGCTGCCTCCTGCACACCTCCCACCGGGGATGTGCCCGCAACCCAGGTACATGCCCTTGACCGGAATCGAACCCGGGACCTTTCAGTCCGCAGGCCGACGCTCTATCCACTGAGCCAAACCGGTTTCGGCCATAACCAAAAATTTGATCTCTTTTGCTATGAGTTCGTTTCCAAGTCTTGGCTATTCTATATAATAAATAGCTAATATGCAAATGGTTGTCATGCCCTCACCGTCACGCCATAACGGCTCAGACACTCAACACTGAGGAGAGAGGAATGAGGACTAGCCAGGCACAAATGAGCTTGTGAGAGAGGAATGGGGACCAGCCAGGCTGCGGCCTGAGAGAGGGACAAGCCGCCTGCCCTGCAGTCCCAGGTGCCAGCAGCCAAGGCTGTGGCCCGGGAGGACAAGCTGCCTGCGCTGCGGTCCTGGGTGCCAGCACCTGCACCTGCCGCCCAGGAGAGGGACAAGCCGCCCACCCTATGGTCCTGGGCACCGGCGCCTGAGCCTGTGGCCTGGGTGAAACTGCCTGCACATGGTCTTCTGTGGCTGCGGCTGGCCCAGGAGAAGCCAGCCCAGGTCCTGGGTGACTGTGGCTGGCCAGAGGAAGGGAAGCCCGGGTCCCAGGTGCCTGCGACTGGCCGGAGGGAATCCTGGTGGGTCTCGGGTGCAGGGTGAGGCAGAGGCGGTTAGGGGCAATCAGGCCAGCAGGGGAGCAGTTAGGGGAGATCAGGCTGGTAGGGGAGCAGTTAGGGGCAATCAGGCAGGCAGGCAGGCAGAGGTGGTTAGGGGCGATCAGGCAGGCAGGCAGGTGAACGGTTAGGAGCCAGCGGTCCCAGATTGCGAGAGGTAGTCGGACATCCCCGAGGGGTTCTGGATTGGAGAGGGTGCAGGCTGGGCTGAGGGAACACCCCCACGCCGTGCATGAATTTCATGCACCGGGCCTCTAGTTGTAAATAATGCTGCAATGAACATGGGGGAACAGAGGTCTCAACAGTGATTTTGTCCCCTTTGGATATATACCTAGAAGTGGGATTGCTGGATCATATGGTAGTTCTATTTTTAATTTTTTGAGGAAACTCCATATTGTTTTCCATAGTGGCTTCACCAGGCAATCCCACCAACAGTGAGTGCACAAGGGTTCCCTTTTCTCCACATCTCACCAACATTTATCATCTCATCTTTGTTATGACATTCTAATAGGTGTGAGATGATCTCATTATGGCTTTAATTTACATTTTTCTGATGATTAGTGATGTTGAACATCTTTTCATATACCTGCTGGCCACTTAAATATATTCTTTGGAAAAATGTCTATCCAGGTCCTTTGCTCATTTCTAATTGGATTATTTGTGTGTGTTTTTGTTATTGAGTTTTTTTTGTTATTGAGTTTGTCAATTTATTAGATATTTAACTCATTGTATTATGAGCTCTGAATTATTCAACCACCCTCTTTAAATATTTTGAATATTAACCCCTTATCAGATATATGATTAGCAAATATTTCCTGCCGTTCCATAGATTGGTTTTTCATGTTGTTGCTATTTCCTTTGCTATGCAGCTTTTTAGTTTGATATAGTTCCATTTATTAATTTTTGCTTTTGTTTCTTGTGCTTTAGGTTGACCTATGTCAAGGAGCTTTTTCCCTCTTTCCTTCAGGTCTTACATTTAAGTCTTTAATCCATTTCAAATTAAATTTTGTGTTTTGTAAGATAGGGCTCTTGTTTCATTCTTTTACATGTGAATATCCAGCTCTCCCAGCACCATTCATTGAAGAGACTGTCTTTTCTCCATTGAATGTTCTTGGCTCCCTTGCCAGATATTAGTTGAGTGTATATGCAGGGGCTCTTGATTCTGGGCTCTCTATTCTGTCTTTCTCATGCTTATGAATTTCTTTAAAAAATTATTTTTAGAGAAAGGGGGAGAGGAAGAGAAAAAAAAAACATTGACTTGTTGTTCCACTTATTTATGCATTCATTGGTTGCTTCTTATATGTGCCCTGACTGAGGTTTAAACCCACAACCTGGTGTATGGGGAAAACACTCTCACCAACTGAGCTACCTGGCCAGGGCTATGCTAATGATTTTTAAGTTCTCCTTGTGCCTCCCATCACCTTAGTAATATTGCTTAAGGGATCAGGAACAATCAAGTTCCTGCAATAGGCATTTCCACTGTACTAGTTTCAACTTCTATGCAGGTGCTACCTCCCTGGCAGTCTGTTTTAAAATTAGTGTCATATCTTTAAGGAGACTGAGCCTGAGCACCAGGTAATTATTTACTCAGCTGGGTGAGTGGCAGTCAGTGGGAAAAAGGCTAAATATCATGCATGGAGAGTCCCAACCACCAAGGGATAGTAGATGGCCAGGGTGGGATAGGAGGGCTGGCCTGTGACTGAAGGATGCCAACTCCTGGTCCCATAGGATGCAGCGGAATCTGAAGATGGAGATGCTAGCTGGATGTGGAGCTGGAATGTGCCAGGTGGTGGTTACCTGTCCCATGGAAATGCTCAAGATTCAGCTGCAGGATGCTGGGCGCTTGGGTGAGGCCTATCCCAACTTCACATGGAATCAATAAAGGCTATAATCAGAATAGATTTTTACACATCTGCACTCATTTGCTAGTCTGTGTGACCCAATCAGATTTCTAGGTTAGTAGAAGTTTTTATTTTATGGTTACCATTCTAGATTTTAACACTTCCAGCTCTAGAACAAAGAGCAGAAATGAGAATATTGATTCGGGAAGGACAGAGGTCTCACCCTAATACCTCTATCTTATTGCCTTAACATTTAGGCTTGATTTCCTAAGTATCTTAAGAAAGTGGTCAATGGCTTGCTCATGAACACTTCAGTAAATAGAAGTTCTATTATATTATGCTTTAGAAGTGGGGCTTTGGTGGGAATGCATAAAAAGAACCATCTCTATCCTTTTGGTTTTCTCTGGAAGAGAAGTTTGGCCTTTTGCTAAATCCTGGTCCTCTCAAAAAGTTAGAGTGGAATAGGTACCAAAGCATATATTAAAAGCAATGATTGGCCGTCTAATAGGAGGCTAACCCTGGTGGGGTGGGACAGAGGGTTTCTCCTCAGAGCTAAACCACAATGTCTGAATTTAATAAGCCAACATGTCATGTGCCAGGTCTTCAATAAATGTGTATTCCCTTTCCCTCCTCAATCCAACGGTGTACACGTGCTGTGCTTTTCAGGTGGATCAGTCCAGTCTAAAGCAAATAAAACTGCAGAAAGAATACAGTTCAGGCACTGGAAAGCCCTCACTGTTTTGCTTTGCAGAGTAAAAAGCTTTGTAATGTTTTGTTTTTCAACTTGGATAAGAAGTTTTAGTATTCCTAAAACATTTTAAAAGAAGAGAAAGCTAGGATATGGGTGAAATAATTATGTGCACCTAAAGGAGACATGGGGAAAATAATGTTCATTGATTAGAACTGTCTGAGGCCTACAGCCCTAGATTATTAGCATAAGACAATATGCTGTCATTAGCTTCTTAGTATGAAATGCTGCCCTGATGGATATCAAACAAAACTGGGACATTAAATTGCTTTCTTTCAGCAAGAACTTATCATCTATGCAAAGCTTCTCACACACTGAGAATCAATATTCACACAATTTCAGTGCATTGAATCTTGTGGTTATTAATGGGACTCAACCACATTTGAAATGCTTGTATTTAATATGCTCAGGAAAAAAAAGAATTCCATTCTATTTATTAGATGTTTAACTCATTGTATTATGAGCTCTGAATTATTCAACTAAAATGGGTTGACATCTCAAAAATAAAATTCTATAAAATGATGCAGGGAATAAAAAGGACATGATCACCTAATCTTAGAATGGTAGAGAGAGGAGGCTCTGTTGAAGTCTGATTTTTTTTTCCCCTGTTGTATTTTTGAGAGAGAGGGAGAGGAAGAGAGAAACATTAATGGGTTGCCTCCTGCATGCACCCCAACTGGGGATTGAACCCACAACCTGGGTATGTTTTCTGACCAGGAATAGAATCTGTGATGTGATCTTTCGGTGCATGGGATCACGCTCCAACCAACTGAAGGAGATAGTGTTTCTTTAAATCCTCATCCAAGGAGTGAGGATATTTTTTACCATTGATTTTTAGAGAGTGGGGGGCGGGGGAGATAGAAGAGAAAGAGAGAGAAATATCACATTGATTGGTTGCCTCCTACATGCTCCCTCACTGTGGGCAGGTACATGGCCTTGACCAGTAATCAAATCCTCGACCCTCTGGTGCGCAGGCCGATGCTCTAACCACAGAGCACATGGGCTGGGATTGAAGGAGAACTTTTAAACAAAAAGCATTTGCTGCTTTACATCAGGCAGAAGACATATGGGATTCCTACATCCCAAAGACCCAACAGGATGAAACTATGTAAATAGGTTCAGAGATGGTTTAGAAATGAAAGACAAATTAAAAACACAGGAGAATGAAGAACTGCGGAATTGGGAGCCATACTCTTGCAAGTGTTTTGCAGCGCCTGTTGGGGCCTAGTTTGTGATGGAAAGTCTGTCCTTTCCCTTTCGGCAGTCCATCACCATGGTTCGGCCTCAGCACCTTCCTCTAGGTCCTACACCATTGGATCAGCTTCCACACACAAGTGTCCATCTGCCACTGTCATTGCTTGGGAGCTGCTTCGAACCCAGGGCCTGGCTGGTCTCTATAAGGGTTTGGGTGCCACTCTTCTCAGGTAAGACTTTCTTCCCAAACTTGGGACAGAGGGCCCCAAGTGAATAGGGAGCGGAAGAGGACCAGAGGGATTGCTACCCCAACCTGCCTGTTTTCAAATATCTCTATGCTTCATATTTTGTCCACAATTGGGCAGGATTACAGACTGGGTATCTGAAAGACTACTTTTAGGACCCTTCTTCAGTGGCCAGGCCCACATGACTATAGGGTGTTCTGTGGCCCAAAGGCACCTAGAATGTACTGTATACACAGGACTGTGGGTCATCTATAAGTAAATGAGTGTATATATCCCATTTTACTGTGCTACTGGGGGGGGGGGGGGCGCAACATTTTTTTTTAAAGAGGGAGTTCAATTTAAAAAAATTTTTTTTTATTGATTTTAGAGAGGCAGGGAGAAACATCAATTTGTTATTTATGAATTCATTGGTTGCTTCTTATATGTGCCCTGCAGCCTCGCCTGGCCAATGTGGCTCAATAGTTGAGCATTGACCGATGAACCAGGTGACGGTTTCGATTCCTAGTCAGGACCCATGTCTGGGTTGCAGGCTCAATCCCCAGTACGGGGTGTGCAGGAGGCAGACAATCAATGATTCTCTCTCTCATTATTGATGTTTCCCTTTCCCTCTCTGAAATCAATAAAAACATTTAAAAAAAACAACACCCGCAGCCTTGGCATATTGGGATGATGGTCTATCCAACTGAGCTACCTGGCGGGGGGGGGGGGGCGCAACATTTTTTTTTAAAGAGGGAGTTCAATTTAAAAAAATTTTTTTTTATTGATTTTAGAGAGGCAGGGAGAAACATCAATTTGTTATTTATGAATTCATTGGTTGCTTCTTATATGTGCCCTGCAGCCTCGCCTGGCCAATGTGGCTCAATAGTTGAGCATTGACCGATGAACCAGGTGACGGTTTCGATTCCTAGTCAGGACCCATGTCTGGGTTGCAGGCTCAATCCCCAGTACGGGGTGTGCAGGAGGCAGACAATCAATGATTCTCTCTCTCATTATTGATGTTTCCCTTTCCCTCTCTGAAATCAATAAAAACATTTAAAAAAAACAACACCCGCAGCCTTGGCATATTGGGATGATGGTCTATCCAACTGAGCTACCTGGCCAGTGTAGGGGTTAATTTTCTAGTCTCTGGGCAACAAATGAACTTCACCTTCCTGCCCATCCCCTCAACACTTACCTTATAGCTCTTCACCAGCCACTTGCTCAGCTTAGTAACTCTTCCCTTAGCCTGCCTACCCACTTTTATGGAACACACCACCAGTCTTTGAATCTGCATCTGGCTCCTCATTAAGCTGCAGGTGCTGGGAGGGCAGAGGAAAGAACTGGGATGGTTGGGAAAGGCAAATCAAGCTGATCTCTTATGCTATCACCCCACATTATCATGGGTGCCAGAGCAGGAATACAGAATTGTAGGCTTGTCTCTGACCTATCTTGAGGTCACAGGCTCACTGTATGATCTTGGGTAGAAGCCCCAGGAGGGCAAGAAGCTCAGTGTTTTTCTTCCTCTCCTGCAGAGATATTCCCTTCTCCATCATCTACTTCCCTCTGTTTGCCAACCTCAACAACCTTGGTTTCAACGAACTTACTGGGAAGGCTTCCTTTGTTCATTCCTTTATGTCAGGCTGTGTTGCAGGTTCCATAGCGGCTGTCATAGTAACACCTCTGGATGGTAAGTGCCTCTAGTGTTGACTTGCTTTACAAATTAGTTACCTGTAGAGTCATTTATAGGATAAGTAGTAATACTGCACTTTTAGGATAGAGACAAAACAGCTCCAACCTAAAAACTCTTGGGTCATAACCTGTGGCCACTGTCAGGTCCACCCACAGAACGTGGGGTCTAGTTCTTATCACTGACAAATACCCTTACTTTCTAGGTACTGATTTCACTAGCTTTTTGTCCCCCAATAGAGTTGTGAGCATCAGCTATAAATGTTGCTGATACTTTAAAACTGAAGGCTAAAGGCAGGAGCTACACACTATGAGACAATGCTTCCTCTATCTTTAGACAACAGTCAGCTCCTCTAACACAGGTGGATCTTTCCATAGCATGAGTGAACTAAGGGATCGTGTAGTTTCTAATTCCTTCAATTACATATCCCACAATGGTAGAGATAGCCTCAGGATTCAGTTTTATGTATGCTGGCTATAAAAGGAAACCTGACCATTTAATGTTAAGAAGAGAACACCAAAAGCAAAATGTTCCCTCCTAATTTTAACATTTGTTTTAGTTTTGAAAACTCGAATCCAAACCCTCAAGAAAGGTCTGGTTGAGGACAACTACAGTGGGATCACTGACTGTGCCAGGTGAGAGCCCTGTATCCCTTTACAGATGTGGCTGGGACAGTTCCCTCTATGTTGGTGTGCACCTAGACTCAAACTACGGAACAATTTTATCACTATACTACACTGAGGTCTTTATTTCTTTGAATTCTGTTGCTTTCCCTTACCTCTCAACAAAAGCAGGTTGTACTTGGAGCTTTCTTCTTTGCATCCCTACAGCATCTTTCTCCCAAAGTCTAGCCAATTGAGCCAATTTTTCATGGACTGGACCCAACTGCTTAGTAACCAAACTGCATACACATAATGGGGGAGGCATGGCTCCCACATTCCTGTAGAAAGTGACATGTGCTTTCAAAGAAAAGATGTACAAACGTCGGAGGAGAGGATGGCACTGAGCGCTGCTTGGTGTGCTTCTGCTCATTCAGCTCACAGGGCTCTTCTTTCTCCCTAGGAAACTCTGGATTCAGGAGGGACCATCTGCCTTCATGAAAGGAGCAGGCTGCCGGGCCCTTGTCATAGCCCCTCTCTTTGGGATTGCCCAAGGTGTCTACTTCATTGGTATTGGAGAACATATCTTAAAGTGTTTTGAATAAATATAGCTGGAATTCAGGTCCCTTCACTGGCTTCCATCTCTCTACCCTCCATGTATTTTGTCCTCTAACTTGTAGTACCACCTAAGTCTCAGAAGAAACAACCTTATTCTAATAAGCAAGGTGGCTACAGCTCTATTCTGCCTCAGAAGCCCCTAACCAACTACCTTTCAACAGAAGTAGTACATGCTTTGGTTGTATTGACTGTAGGACCTTAACAGACAGTAAAGATAGAAGGGTTGTTTCTACATTTTACATTTCTATTTCACACCTCAAGCTCAGTATACTTGAGTCATTTGGAGGATTTAGTTTTGTTATTCTGAGCTAAATAACTTACGGTTAGTCCTAGCATTCATTTTGGGCAAAAAGAGAATCAAAAGTTCAAGGGGACCATATAAGTCCTCAAAGTCAGCACCTAGTTTAAAACCATCCAAATCCTTTCAAATTATGGGTGGCTGAGGGATAAGGCCAACTAAAACCAAGCAGCCAGGCCAAAGTCAGGGCAGCCATCCTGCCCCATTTCCTCCTTCTGAAAAACAGGCTCTTAAAGACCAACTGGAGGCTCGGGGCATGAATTCGTGCACCAGTGGGGGTCCCTCTGCCTGGCCTGCGGGATCAGGCCGAAACCAGCTCTCCGACATCCCCCAAGAGGTCCCGGATTGTGAGAGGGCGCAGGCCAGGCCAAGGGACCCCACCGGTGCATGATCGGGGCCAGAGAGGGACGCGGGAGGTTGACCAGCCTGGGAGGGACTGCGAGAGGGCTCCAGGGTGTGTCTGGTCCATCTCACTCAGTCCCGATCAGCCAGACCCCAGCAGCAAGCTAACCTACCGGTCTGAGTGTCTGCCCCTGGTGGTCAGTGCACATCATAGTGAGCGACTGAGCAGCCTTAGCATATCATTAGCATATTACGCTTTGATTGGTTGAATGGATGACCGGACAACTGGACACTTAGCACACTAGGCTTTTATTATATAGGATGTCCATGGAACACTGTCTGAAATAAAGTTGAACTAGTTATAATCTCGTCTTATAATTAGCAAAGGAAGCAGACAGGCTGCGAAGAATAGTCTGTCTTCTACCTTTCTGTGTCCAATTCAAAACTGGCATGAAAATGAGTGGGAGGAAGAAAAGTGTTTAGGCTTAACACACAGTTAAACGCGCCCCCTCCCCTTGCAAAAAAACCCCCACACACCTTAGTTTCTTTTCTGACACTGCCAAAGCTAGTAAAACTATTTCCTCAATAAAGCTGTCAAGCCCTCTAAGAGGACAGATAATACTGAACACCTTATGTGTAAGTGTGGAAGACTATAAGGGGCTGAAAGGAACATAAAAGGAACACTTCTGAGTGAGGATCTGGTAAAAATGAGCAGAAAGTGCCAGAGGACCCAGGGAGGGTTAATGGTTTCAAGTACCAACAGATGTCAACCAGCAAATGCTACCGAAATTTGGATAATGGTGTCTTTTTTAGATAACCACACTAAGAATTTTACTCTCTCAAATCACACACTTAGAGTGTCTTGCATAATAAACTACAATTAAATTCACTTAAATGTTTTGTTTTAATAAATAAAGCATCATGGCTTAGATTTTAAATCACATTTACAGATAAGGAGCATTTCTAAGCCCAAACAGGTGACAGTGAAGCTACTACTGCTGGAAGGAATGCATGCCCCACATGTATGTTAAGCCTAAAGAGCAGAGACTTACCAGCAGAGCACACCATACACATAACCTCTAGACTAGATAACTAGAAGCAGAGGAAGAACACAAGTTTGGGTAAAGTCCATGCAACAACTACCTGATTTCTTCACCTTCATGCTGCAGAACCAACTGAAAGTTGTGTTACTTTTAGATAAGCTAGAAGTAGGTTTCCTGATCATATTAAAGGAAACTTTCTCCCATTGTTAACAATTAGGCTAAGGGCATTAGTATAGAAAGATATCCACGAGTAAATACAGAGTATTAGAATAGCAAAAAGGAAGCTACATAGATCATCTTGTTTCTTCAAATATTAGAAACTTCTACATCATAGTAGTGCATGAATTCCACCTCCCAAAGGCTTAGTCCAAAAACTTCCTGTTGGCATTTGCACCAAACAAGGCTCCTCGCACTTCTGGCATCATCTGTAAAGAAATGAGATCTTTAATAAATAAGTGTTTTGTCAACTGGAGAACTTGAGAAGAACTGCACATCTTTTTAAATTTTTAATGAACTTATTGAGGTGCCATTGGTTAATAAAATTATATAGGTTTTAGGTACACAATTCTATGATATATTATCTGTATATTGTACTGTGTGTTCACCACCCAAAGTCAAGTCTCCTACCATCATCATTTATGAAGAACTGTAGATCTTAACAGAGATGGCAAGTCATGAACCCCTAAATGGCTGGGAAGGAAATCACAAAGCTAAAAGCATCAAATCTGTCCTTTACTTATCCAAAGCACTATCATAGAATCCTCGATGAGAAACTTAACCAATAAAAAATTTTGGGTTAAGACTAACTGCTTTAAAGGAGACAAAGAAGAAGAAGAAAAAAACTAAGAAACTAAACATGGCCTGGCTGGTGTCACTCAATTGGTTGAGCATCATCCTGTGCACCAAAGGTAGCAAGTTCAATTCCCGGTCACAGCACATACCCAGGTTGTGGGTTCAATCCTTGGTTAGGGTGAGTGCAGGAAGCTACTGATATCTCTCTCTCTCTCTCTCTCTCTCACCTCCCCCCCTTTCTTTCTCTCTAAAATCAATAAAAACATTAAAAACAAAACAAAAAACTCAAGGCATTACTGTCTAAGGCTTCTGTTATGTTGTGATGGAAGAAGAGCCTGTTAACAGTTGTATCTCATCATAATATTGTGTATCACCTACATTCTTTATTTCAAAAAGTATTTATTGACTGTCTATGTATCAAGCAGAAAACATACAATGCAAGCTGTGCTGAGGTACTTGTTATTGCAAGTGAAAATCCTTAGGATTTAACCTCAAACTTCTAAGGCTGTGTGTTCAACAGAGTAGCCACTAGCCACATGTAGTTGCTGTGCATTTGAAATGTGGCTAGTGCATATAAGGAACTGAATTTTTAATTTTACTTAATTTAAATATCCATTTGTAGTGAGTGGCTACTCTATTGGGTAACAAAGCTGTATGGTTTAAGTTACAAGAAGATGATATACTCAACATCAAAGTGCTTAGCTATAAGACAAGTTAGCAGTAGACCACCACTACTGGGAGATGCCCAGCACGTTGAAATAATTGAAATTTCCTGCCAAATAATTTATTTGTGCAAACATGGGAATATTTGAAGAGCCAACAGCCCACGGTAATTTTTTTAAACAAGTATTTACTTTAGTTGCCATAATTCTTGCTGGAGAAAGAACTTTGGTCAGCATCTCCACTTGCAGTAAATGTATACATTATTACTGTAAATGTAAACAAAACCCTTTTTCTGACTCCAAATCCCCCTCATATAAATGGTACTGACTCAGTCAATGCCACTAAATGCTTAATCCCATACCTTTTAAGAAAATGTCAAAAAATATGGATACAGCAACAAATCCCAAACACCAGTGAATGGATGTGTTCTCTGTATCACTTCAAAGTAACAGACCAACTAACAAAAGTATTCCCACACTCACCTGCTGAGCTATGAGATCCAGTCGGCTTTCTAGGGTATTGGAAACTTTTATTTTACGATCCCCATTATAGATCTCAACTCCACCAGCTCTACAAAGAACAGGGGAAATAATTTTTATAGATTTCAGGAAGATAGGAAAGTTTTGGGGTATGGGATGTCTAAATACTACAAGGGGCCAGGCCGGTATGGCTCAGTGGTTGACCATTATGAACCAGTAGGTCAGGGTTTGATTTCTAGTTGGAGCACATGCTCAGGATGTGGGCTCGATCTCCAGTGTGGGGCATGCAGGAGGCAGCCAATCATGATTCTTTCTTATCACTGAAGTTTCTATCTCTCTTTCCCTCTCTGAAATCAGTAAAAATCTATACTGATAAAAGGGTACTATGCTAATTAGACCAGGAGACCTTCCGGGAGACCTTCCAGACGTCCTTCCAGACAAAGCCATGGTGGCGGGGCCGAGGCAGAGGCGGTTAGGGGCGATCAGATCAGGAGGGGAGGGCAGTTGGGGGTGATCAGGCTGGCGGCAGGGGCGGGGAGGGGGGGCAGTTGGGGGAGAGCAGGCCGGCAGGCAGAGTGGTTAGGGGTGATCAGGCAGGCAGGCAGGTGAGCGGTTAGGAGTCAGCGTTCCTGGATTGTGAGAAGGATGTCCACAGGGATCGGGCCTAAACCAGCAGTCGGACATCCCCTGAGGGGTCCCAGATTGGAGAGGGTGCAGGCCGGGCTGAGGGACACCCCCCTCATGCACAAATTTAATGCACCAGGCCACTAGTTATCTATCTATCTATCTATCTATCTATCTATCTATCTATCTATAAAAGCCTAAGCAACTGAATGACTGGTTGACTGGTTGCTATGACAAGCACTGACCACCAGGGGACAGACGCTCAATGCACGTGATAGGGCTCCTCCTGTCTGGATCGGGCCTGCAGGGACTGGGCTCCCTCTTGTCTGGATCGGGCCTGTGAGGATCGAGCCAAAACCGGCTATCTGACATCCCCCAAGTGGTCCCAGATACTGAGAGGGCGCAGGCCAGGCCGACGGACCCCACTGGTGCATGAATCCATGCACCTGGCCTCTAGTATTTTAAATAAATAAACACTGCAAGGGGCCAATAAACATAAGCAGTAAGCTTGAATAAATTTAAAAAGCTTCTTAGGATTTAAGGTATGGGTGTTAATAAATGTCATTTACCAAGTCCTCGAGGCCCTATTCTACTAATTACCAGGGGTACTGATAAGGCAAAGCTGTGTGTCAGATAAAAGATACCATTGTTAACCTTGTACCAAACTCCCTCTTAGAAAGTCCTGCTTCTAGCCTTTTATCATTCCATTCCTCAGTTTCTCAGCACTTAACAGGCATAAGGCAAAAGGTGTGGTTCTATTACATGGAGCCTCAGGGAGTGAAATTCTTTTGCTATACCAAAATTTTACTTTTATCAAATATTTCTTAAATAAGCAGGCTATGACACAAAGGCTGGGTAAGGTTTTGCAAAATTTCTTTGGGAAATTTTAATGGACGGTGACCTTATTACTTCATCCTCCCTCCCAGTCATTGTCTACCTGGCTAATAAGGAAGAACCACAACAGAGTACTAATAGAAAAAAACAGCCACACTTCTATCCTTAAGGCAAAGAGTGCCTTGGAGAAAACTCCCTTTACAACAGGCCTAGTATAAAGGCCATTCTCCCAGTGAAAGAAAGCCAGATGTTAAAAGCAGAAATACTCCTTACATCTCCTCAGGTAGGTAGACCTCCTGATCAATTTGGACATCAACATCTTTATTGGTGGCGATTTTGTACATAGGGATTGCTTTTTGCACTGCAGCCTGGAAAAGCAGAAAATGACAGGTTTTAGCAGAAACTTTTTCCCCAAAAAAATAAAAATAAAAATCCACAAACAATACAAGCAGCTATATATTTCAGGTAAGAGAATAGATGATTTACGAATGGAATGTAAAACAGTACAGCCGCTATAGAAAACAGTGTGTTAATTCCTTAAA